TTACACTATCGGCTCGTGCAATCAAGGTCGTTGATGAACATAGCTCTCAACCGTTGGATGGCAGAATAGTTAAGATAATTATTATCGAAGGCTATATTGTGGTTTTAACCATGATATTATCTTTTAATAATATATCAATTGATCTAGACTGAATATGATCAATATCCTAGCGTTTGTTTGGAAATGGGTTTCTCTGCATGGGATAATATTAAAGAAGAATGATTATATTATAACCAATGGTCAGGAAAAGAATTGCAATTCATATGCAATTCTCTAGTTGGCACATGCATAGACGTGGAGGGCTAGAATTTGTGATCGAGTCGGTTTTTTGAAAATGCATAATTGCACTGGACAGATATGGTGGAAAGATTAAGAGTTAAAACTTTCATTCGAATTACTAGAGGCAGTGCCCCCTTTATTGCCGAGTCCTGCGGGAATGCATGGCTAGGGGATAAACTTGCATGCTGATTATTTGCATGCCTTGGTTCCAGCACTGTGGAGGTCATCAGATAGGCTGTTGCAATCTAATTATTTGCATGAAATAAGGAGATAATGATGGCATTTAAAAGATAGGTTGTTGCTTACCTTGAGAAGTCTTTGACTAGGACCCGAGCTGAAGAGTTTGAATTAAAATCAAATCCTACACTAGTGTGAAGCCGCGCCACATAACATTTGCTTCTATAAATACAGTGCCACGAACAACATTCAAGTGCCCCCTCTAATTTAACACACAAACTGCCTTGCACAAACTCTCGCTCTATGCGAAACCTCTCAACAACCTTGAGATTTTTATTTTTCTGCTAACACATCTTCAGTTTGGATAAACAGCACTGTGAAAGCAACCGGTGACACTTTCAATTTGGATAAACAACACTGTTGTTGTAGAATTAGCCATCCACGGAGCACCTTCAGTTTGGATAAACAGCACTGCGTTGAGGCCAACTGATTGTTTATCCAAGTCTCAGTCGAGAGGGATTTTCGAATCCTTATTGGCAAAGGTCATCTCATTAGCCTTCTCGACGAAGTGAGGTGTTACAGGTTACTACATTTGGTACATTGAAAGCCGAATTTGATCTTGAACTTCGCAGAACTAGCAGCCTTATCTTCAGGCTCTAGAACTCGAAAACTGATACATGTTCCTTCCTCGCCCGCAGTCGCAAGATCAAGAAGTCGGCAGTACGCTCAACGCGACATCAACACATTTTACTTCTCGGCCGAGCTCGGCGAACGAGTTGGCACGCCCAGCACACAAATGAAGGACGTAGTTAGCTTATTATTTACTCGGCATGCGCGCCACGTAGGCTTGGTAGTTTTTAGGTTCAACAGAAGCACACGTCACATAAATCTCGTTAAGGTGCCACTTGCACGCTAACTGAAGCATACATCCCTTAGGACGGCTCACTAACAAAGATAGGTCCACTAGGCTCTATTGGATATTTAGTAATGTTAATTTCAATATTGAAGAATGATTCAAAACATTTTGACTAAAAGTCAACCCTTGGTCAACGTGGTCAATGATATAGTCAACTACCTTAGTAATCTAATCTGGAAGATCTATACGTCAGATTTCTGATCTGTAAAGTCCTAATAGTATCACATTAATCAAATAACAATGTACTCTAACTTCATGACGATCCAACGATTAGATCTGCACCTACCATAAAATTCAAGTGGCGGGCCTTAACGAAACTAAGTTCAAACAATGGAATACATTAAACGGATGTCAAAGGGCATCAAAATTAGTCTAGGGAGACAAAGTCGACTCTGGCCATAGGCCGCCGGAATCTAACCACCGCCGAGACTCGTTTTACATCAAATTGAAGCCTCGAGTAAGTTTTAGACCTGCGATAGTTGGTTCCATCGAAAAAGGCTTGAAAATGGTGAGGTATAGCTAGAAAACTCAAAACCGTCGAATATCGAATTGTCGTTATTGGAGCTTCAAGGGCTTGAAACCTAGCTGGGTTTTGTTGTTAGGGTTGAGATGAGTTGATTACAAGTGGTGCCTGATGTCGGACTGGTCGAAGTTGGGAGATCACCGACCGTGATGCTTGGCAAAACGGCGTGCCTCATCCGTCTCGAAACAGCGCACAAGCTTACTCAAGTTTGGGTGGAAAATGAAGTTAGAGAAGCACTGAACCGATTAGTGGGGGTGGGTGCCCGGTTCATCGTCGTCAAATTTTGCCGGAATCTGCGCTGAAAATTATTGCATGAAATGTGTCAAGAACCTGTATCGCGCGCAGCAAACGGGTCAGCTGCAAACCCATGTTTCTAAAACAGGATTTTTCCCCCTTCCACAATCTTCAGATGCTATAAAGCCCAATTTACTAATTTGCCCTCAACTTTATTCGCTCATAATTCCTTTGTTAAAACTCTGTTTCATGAACGGTTTCCGCCCACGCGTTCGTAGAATCGAACTTATCCAAATATACTAAAAGAGATCCTAACATATCTACAGATTTTTAATGACTAATTACTAAAATATCAAACTCTGTAGCTAGTCAACTAAAAATCAAAACTTAACGAAAATTAAATTAAATTCGTAACTATGAAATACGAAACTTGAATAGTGAAATCCACAGGCTGGGTTTTATTTATAGTGGTATAAATAATTAACTTGATAAACTATCCAGAAACAAAACAGATGAAGAAGAAAAATACTTTTGGGCTTGATTAACTGTCTGTTGCGTTTATGCTAATCAAATGTTGGTAGTGAAACACTATAGGCAGTTAATCAAGTAAATAAATCATGGTGGTGCTTAGAGGGGGAGATAGTGCTAGGTTTACCAGATTTTCTCCCCTGCGTATTTACCAGATTTTCACCCCTGCGTACTTGGGTTCTATGCGCGGGCTGCGCGCGACTTGGCTTAGTTGAATCTCATCCTTTCATTCTTTTAACTAAAAACGAGCGGCTCTGATAAGATTTCAAGCAAAGGGTTGCAACAAAGAATGCAATTTCTTCTAAAGATAGTTATATAGTGATTCATTCTTTATTGCAGCCAATCTCTTCAAATCTAATCAAAACCGCTTGTTTTCGGGTAAAGGAATGAAAGATTGAGATTTGACAAAGCCAAGTCGTGTGTAGCCCGTGCGTAGAACCCATGTGAGTTGGGGAGAACATCTAAGAACGTATTCTCTCTAAAAAGATAATGACTTACATAGAAATGTTTACCTTCATTTGGCGTTCCTTGTTTAATAATGCATTTTTATGTGCAAGTTTTTCTATAAGTAAAATATATGATTGAGTCGGGATGCTAAGTGACAATAAATTAGTTCCATATAAGTTACTATCCTTTAAAAAGGTGGAGCAATTTGTACAACTGCAAACATTTTACAAATCTCAAATTCGATGGTGTAGATTTATCTGAACCCCAAATTTAGTATACCAATTAGACTACTTGATGACTAAGAACCTATTAAAAATAATCAACATTCTTTTAAACGAATTATTAAATATTTTAAAGTAGTAAACTTAAAAAAAGAAAAATGGCACCATTATCACAAATATGAATTGCTTTTTAGGAGTGAAAGAGTCATGACTTGTCTTAAAATTACTAAAATGCTCGATCATTTGAGTGTCACATGCCTTCTTCATTAACTAAATGAAGGAAAAATGTGATGTGTTCTTGAACTTTATCGTTTGATAAACTACAAGGACTAAAATTGAGAAATTAAAATTACAATCACCAATTAAACTTCAACTAAATTACATGATTTAAAAGTGAGATTTGGCCTTTATTTTACATAATCCTGAAGTCTACGTTTGGTATGTGGGAAAGAGAGCTTGAAAATGGAAAAGTGTTGTCTTTTTCATATTTGGTAAGGCCTGGGAAATGATTTTCTGAGTCCTGAGAAAATAGAAGGGAAAGTGAAGCCCTCCGTCCTCACTTTCCTTCCCCTTGGGAAACCAAAAAAAACACCAGTTAACTGCTATCTGTTTATAACAAGTATATCCTAACATAAAATGATCATTATATCCCATAAAATGGTATTTCCTGCTTAATTTTGCATCGTTAGTAAACATTGAAAAGGAATTTTGCATTTTCCTTTCTCAAGGAAAAGACATGGGAAGTTAATTTTCATGAATTCCTTTTAGTGTACCAAACACAATCGAAGTAACAAGCACCCGTGAATTTTGATAAGAAAGAAAAAAAATCATTTCCCAAAAAGAGAAAATTCCCCCAAAGTTTTTTCTCCACCATTGGATCATGAAATGGGAGAAGATGTAGGGCCCGGTTTCATGATAAAGATTCCTTCACTGTGCCTGTGGCCCACCGACCAATACAAAACAATATAAAAGAGTTTTGAAAAACGAATGAGGATCCTCTTTATGAGAATTAGGACCATCTTCTCTGCAACATAAATTATTGCATAAACAAAAAATAGTTTAATTGCCATTGAAACAATAATTTAGAAAACTTAAAAAAAAAAAAAATTTGTCAAATAATAGAATTACTATACTAAATTAACCGTATCTATGTGCCAAACACGAAATACGCTGCTTTAGCTAATTTAGTTAAACTGAGTCTGGAAAAATAAAACTTGCTAGTGAGCTACGTTTGCTACAAAATTACAAAGTGATGAATCGCCATTATAGGCGGGAATAAGGGCTCAGCTCCATTTCAAAGTCCAAAAGAAAAATGGTACACAAAATTTCCCTTTAGATATTTTGTTTTTATTAAGAAACGAAATTATCTACATTAAGTGAGATAATGTAGACTAAACCTCACAATAAGCTAGTTATAATATTATTTAATTTTTTTTTTTACGAAAATCGAATAAGGCTCTCAGTTACAAATGAGAGTAACTCTCTTTGAAATTTGAATAAAAAAAGGAAAAAGCTGTAGAAAAACAAAAAGTGGAATTTTGAGGTTTCTGGAGGGATCCAATTCCCCCTCTCTTCTCTCTCGACCTTCTCAGAGCTTGATATCCACAAAGAAGCACATGCTCTACACTTGTTTACTAATATAATAATACTACTGAGAGTACCCAAAAAGGTAAAGTAGAAAACAAGAAATGCAAACCCAACCCAATCCACATTATCTATGCTTCTGCTTTTGGTTGTTCATCTGACATTCTACAGAGATTTTTGCAGCCTTTCTTGTTTATTTATTGCTCTCTATCATTTTTAATTGCTGGCCTGTAAAATCTTCAGTCTCAAGTTTTGAAGTTTGAATCTTTACATTTACTTTATTACTGGCTGGTTGGCTGGCTGGCTTCCAACTAACTCTTGAGGTTGCTGTGGTCTCCAGTCAAAGGTATTTTGATCTGGGTCTTCTTCCTTTTAATCTTTCTTAGTTGAATTTTAGTCCATTAAAATCTTGATTATTATTTGAATTCGAGTTTTTGGGTTGCTCTTCAATTGGAGCTTCTGTGTTGGCCACTTTTGTTTTTTCAAATTTTTTGCTGCTTTTTCTGGTGCAAGCACTGTTCCATTCATCCGTACTTTGGCTTCTGAAACTGGATTTTCTGCAAAACTTCATCAATTTATCAATTGGGTTTTCTGGTTTGTAATTTCAAGAACTGGGTTGTTCTTATTTCGTGATTTCATGAATTGGGCTGTTCTTCTTTTGCGATTTCAGCAATTGGGTCTTCAGTGATCGCACAATTTCATGATATTTTCACTATTTCAAAAGCAATTGATTGAGTTGGATGTGATGCTGCTGGAGTTGCAAATCGTTGAGTCTTCAGAGCGAGCGAGTTTGCAGAGATCCATTTTGTTTTGATTCTTATATAAAGTGATAATATTTTGTTTGGGTTAGATGGTTTTTGGAGTGGATTTGAAGCAAAGCTGAGAGAATGCGATAAGCGAAGTCATTCTTTTTTACTCAAATGCTTTGGATTTGGTGGAAAGAATATTGCCTTCTGATTTTGAAAGGCTTGGCTGTATTGGTTGGAGTTCAGTTGTGCAGCAAAAGTTGATAAAGATTTGGGTGTCGGCTATCTATTTTTTGCTTTCTTGTTTTGTTTTCTGCAACTTTGAAGAGGATTCGTGGTGGTTTTTCAATGACACGTCTGTAAACTTGTAATTGTGTGTTGTAGATGAACACATTGTGAAGTGCTAGTTGAGGAGTTGAGAATTGAACAGTAACAGTAGATGGAGCGCAAGTGGTTGTGGAAGAAGAAGCCTTTGGAGAAGAGCTCTGGAGAAACTGATAGTTCAGGTTCAGTATCTTCGAACTCGGAGAGGTACTCCGATGAACAGGTGGGTAGCTGAACCCTGATTACCACAATATTTGAGTTCAACTTTACTTCTGCAAAGCTTGTACACATTGTTCTTTTGGCATTTAACTAAGTAACTAACGTATATTGTCCTCAATTTCACATAAACGGCTTTGCTCCCTACCCCTTTAAAGCCTTGCTTTATTGATGAATTTTTATGTCCTTCAAAAGTTGAAGATTGCATTTACAGTGGAAGTTTTCTGTCCATTTCTTTGTTGTCTGGATAGACTCTTAATGATGTGAGGAGACAAATAATGTACCATAACTACCGTTGCTTATCCGCACACTGATTGCTTTAGTTTACTATCCTACATATTGTTCTCATTTCTGAAACATATATCCAAAACATAGTAATATGCACCTATGCTAATCAATTGCCTTCAAAACAACTATTAGATAGATTAGGTTGTTCTGATTTGGAATTTGTGTTTCATATTCTTTGTAGCCCTGCAGAAGGACTTTCTGCCTGCCCGTGTAACCAAACAATTAGGTTGCATTTCCTGTTTGAGATACCGTTATCATATCTAGCTAGTTGGTGTCGTAGAAAGGCTTATGACCTATATACCTCCCTCTTGCTTGTTTGTTGTCTTCGTTGCCTTGATATGGTATGCATGCCATGTCTTAGCTTAAGTGGCAGATACTTGATGCCAACTGAGTTTTATAACGTATAAAATTTTGGTACTCTTGAAGTTCCATTTTGTTAACAACCGCTTAGAAAACAAAGTTCGGCTGATGAACTTTTAAATTTGTAACCCAAACAGGCTTGGTTGAGTACACAGGGCGTGTGGTAGTTGTGAAGTGTGGTAGAAAATTTTTGAAATTGTTATCTCAAGTAGGGGAATTAAAAAATCGAAGTTTTGGTCTAGTTGACTAGGTTTGAGGCATCATATTGGAGAATAGAGGGTGTAGTTTATAATTTATGGGTCCTACTTTCGGATTTATTACCTACACTGACCCCTCCTATGGTGGCTAAAAACTGAATAATTACTAGTATTACAGGACACCTTGCAGGCTCCAAAGGAAGATAAATGGTAGCTTCTAGTGTGACCACATGTATACAAACTAATAGCAGCCACTTTGATTTAGCCAATTATAGGATGGCTTATTATTAGCTCCGCCCCCTAGAACTTTAATTTAATCTCACTTTGCTCCCTGTAACTCAAAAGTCGCCACTCAACTCCCTGAAACTCAAAGTTCTCTTTACTTTGCCTCCTGGAACTTGATTTTGATTCCATTTTTTCCCTTGAAACTTGAAAGTTGTCTCTATAAAACTCAAAATTTGCTCCACATTGCCTTAGATCTGTTAAGAGAGAGAGTCCACAAGTCAAAGTGGAACGAATTTTGAGTTTCAGGGAGTAAAGTGGTGACTTTTGAGTTACCGGGGGCAAAGTGAGATTAAAATGGAGTTCCAAGAGCATAGCTAAAAATAAGCCCTTGAGTTTTCAGACTGTTTCATATCACTCTAAGAGACCGGCAATATTTCCTTTCTTGTTCTTACGATAAGCCTTTTGGTGCATTTACAACGCTCTCAATTAGGCGCTTTTGTTGTTTGTGCAATCCAAACTATGATTTTATGCATGTTTAACTGTGGTCAAATATCTTATGTTATCATTCTAGCAGGAGGCACAAAAGGCATCTCCGAATCATGATGCTCAATCACCTGAAGTCACATCAAAAGCAGCATCCAGTGCTGACCATGTTAATTATAGTCTGAAGAGTCTAACGGAGAGATTATCAGCTGCTCTTGTGAATGTTAGCGCCAAAGAAGACTTGGTGAAGCAGCATGCCAAAGTTGCTGAAGAAGCTGTCGCAGGTAATAGTTATATAACATGGTAATTCTGCTAATTTCTCTTTACACAGATATTTTATCTACATAATGATGGCGATGAATTTTAAAGATTTGTGAAATTCCTAACGGCAATGGATAATCTTTCCAAATAGAAGAGAACAATACGTTTATCAAATCTCAACCATGATCTATAGTTTTGTTTTCCAAGGATTTTATATAATTGTCATGTTTTTCTATCTTAAACCATTCTGTTTTTTATGTTATTATAGGCTGGGAAAAGGCTGAAAATGAGGCTGCGGTTTTTAAGTCAGAACTTGAAGTTACAGTTCAGCAAAACTCGACTTTGGAAGATCGTGTAAGCCATCTAGATGGGGCCCTCAAGGAATGCGTTAGACAGCTTAGACAAGCGAGAGAGGAGCAGGAACAAACCATACAGGAAGCTGTGCTGAAGAAAACCCGTGACTGGGAGTCCACCAAGTTGAAGCTTGAAAGTCAGATTATTGAGCTACAGAGAAAAGCAGAAGTGAATAGATCTGAAGCTTCTGCTTTTGTCGATCCTCATCTTTCTCATAAGCTGCAATCTTTAGAAAAAGAAAACTCGGCCCTAAAGCATGAGCTACTGACTCAAGCAGAGGAGTTGGAAATCATGACAATTGAAAGGGACTTGAGTACTCAAGCAGCTGAAACAGCCAGTAAGCAACATTTAGAGAGTATAAAAAAGGTTGCAAGGCTTGAATCCGAGTGCCGGAGGCTAAAAGCTTTGGGTAGTAAAATACCTACTGTCATTGATCACAAGTCCAGTGCTGCTTCTTCAATGTACGTGGAGTCTTGCATGGATAGTCAATCGGACAGTGGAGAGCGGCTAAACATGATGGAGATAGATTCTCAAAAGATGAATGGCTCAGAGGCAAACAAGCGTGACCTGACTTTCTCTGACTGTTGGGCTTCGGCCCTGGTTGCTGAGCTTGATCAGTTCAAGAATGAAAAGGCTGTAAACAGAAATTTGCCTGCCCCTTCCATTGATGTTGATCTCATGGACGATTTCCTAGAGATGGAACGACTTGCTTCGTTGCCACAGACTGAGAATGAAGCTAGTTATCTGGAATCCGAAGCCATAGTTAATCAAACCAATAATGAAGAACGTGCCTTGAGAGCTGAACTTGAAGCCATGAGTCATCGGATGGCTGAACTTGAGGACAAGTTAGAAAAGCTTGAAGTAGAGAAAGAAAAGTTAGAGGTAGAGAATGCTGAAATTGAAGCTATGAGTCATCGGGCAGCCGAATTAGAAGACATGTTAGAAAAGAAGGAAGTTGAGAGAGAAAATTTGGAAGTAGAGAAAGCTAAAATAAAAACCGCTTTAGCCAAAAGTCAAGAATGTTATGTGGCAGCAGAGTTTCAGCTTAAAGAAGCAGAAATGAAGTTGGAGGAGTTACAAAAGGAGCTAAGTATTGCAAATGAATCAAGGCAGACTATTGAGTCTCAGCTCATTAGCATGGAAGCAGAGGCGTGGACCATGTCTGCTAAGGTTGATTCTTTGGAAGCAGAGGTTCAAAGGGAGAGGGCTTTGTCAACAGAAATTGCCATCAGATGTCAGGATTTAGAGGAGGAGCTATCAAGAAAAAACGAAGAATTCAAGCTTCAGAAAACTGCTTGCTCGAACAGTGAATTGAAGAGAAAGCAGGTTGGTGATCAAGGACTATGTCTTGTGGTATTCGATTATTCAAACCATTTACCTAGTTAAAACAAATGAATATGCCGTAATTTAATGTTGTGGTGACTAATTTTCCAGGAAGACCTAGCTGTAGCAGCTGGAAAGCTTGCTGAGTGCCAGAAGACAATAGCATCGCTAGGAAATCAACTCAAATCTCTAGCGACACTAGAAGATTTCCTGATAGACTCCGAAAGCCTCCCAGGGTTCACTGGTGTTGCGCCGCAGATTCCTCAAGCTGATGAACGGTGGAAGTTGCATTCCAATGTGACATTTTCACCTAAACGAGATTCTGTATCAAGACCAGCCGATGAGAGTTGTGGTCCTTCAACAAATAGAAATGAGGACAACTCCCCACCATCTTCGTCTGCATCAACCTCATCCACTGTGTTGTCGACTCATGTCAGCTCTGAGAAGAATCGAAATGGGTTTGCGAAGTTCTTCTCCCGAACCAAGAGTGGGATACGACTAGAAATTTAGGCGAGATTAATACTTTAGTAGATAAAACAAGAAACGTAATTGGTTTGTGGGGTTTGTATTACAGCAGGGAAGTTAGTGCTTCAGTTTATTTGCAAGAGATTCTCAGCTCTTATAATTTTATCCTTTTTGGGGCATATCAGATGCGTTCTTGTGAGATTATGTAAAAATGAGCAAATTAAGGAACCGAGTCGAGTTGTTATGGTAATGGAATGCCGCGACTCAACGGCCACACAGCTACAAAAATGGAAACTCCTCCAGGATGGTAAACAGTGGTGCAAAGAGAGAAATTTTACCCCAAAAAGTGAAAAATGAAAAGTTTTTGGGGCGAGAGAGGCTCGAACTCTCGACCTCAGGATCACTCAGAAGCTATGAGACCTACGCGCTAGCCAACTGCGCCACCGCCCCGTGGTGAACACTGGTCGAATAAATGATACCTATCGTGAATGCATTTGAATTTTAAATTGAAACCTTTAATGAAAATCTCCTGGTACTGCTTATCTTAACGAAAAATTACATTTTTACACTAAAAAATCAATCTTGGTACCATTCAGTTTACCCTTTATTTTGTCCCTATCATTAAAACTCAAAATTTTCAAGTCATTTTCATTAGTTTTCCTCTTTAAATTTTGTGTTCAAATGTTAAGCGTAGCATGATTGACCTTTGTTAATTGAACCACACTTCTAACTGATGTGGATCCCATCCGAATCCTCACATCTTATCCATTAATTGTATATCGTGCTTCCAAAAATCATTATGAATTTTTTAATTTAAAATTAAATACAAATAGTACCTAACAAAAATTAGCTGTACAATGTACGATAAACGGGTATAATGTCTGATCCTCACAAAGAGTATCGGAGAGAATTCTCATCCACCTCTAGCAGCGCCAAACGACACAGATTGGCCCTAAAGTGTTCATATTTAAGTGGGTTAGCTTACCTTTTTATTTCATCTGGTGTAACAATCAAGCAAATTGGGTTCTATGGTGTAGTGGTTAGCACTCTGGACTTTGAATCCAGCGACCTGGGTTCGACTCCCGGTAGGACCTCTTTTTAATTTGTCCTGATTTTTTTTGTTTCATCTCTTAGGACCCAAGTAAACTAAATGATTTGATACCAAAACATAAAAAATAATAATAAAAAAAATAAAACTTAGATGGAAACAAACCATATTTTTCGTATAATCACATAATTTACATTGTTTATTTTCTCAAAGAAACGACGATGATTTCATGTGCAAAATCAATTAAATTAAACAACAGAAGCCAAAATTATTTTCAACTCTTTGTTTCGGCCTTGTCATTCATGATGAGCATTAGCATGTTGAGAATTCCTCTCTCTTGAAGGCATGGAAGAGGTCAATGCCAAGAGAAGCATTCAGAAAGTTCATTCCGAACATCCCAAACAGCGCAAGCGGCAGCTCTATACCCTTTTCCGAATTTTGGAGCATCGCAGAAGAGCTTGGCTGTAATGAGAAGGTGAGCTGCCGTCCTTGCGAAATTGAAGGTTACCCAATTAAGAACCCACTCTGCCCTTATAATTTTGCTTCTAGCGTCACGAATGCCAGCCATCCGCCATGCTTTCCTCACCTGTAGAAAGATAGAAAGCAGCTGTCGATAGCAACAGAAATATCAGAACCAGTTTCATGTTGTGTAGAATTCACGTTATGAGTCTAAATCCCTCTTAAGATTTTAGATTCTTAGCATTTATTTGAAGTTACCATGTTTTACATATTATTATTTCAACATCGAAATATTTCATTTCGAGGTTGTAGTTACTTTAACTAGATAAATCTTAGCGAAGGAATAATCAAGACAATTCATTTACAAGGGAAAATAACTTAGAAACCCAGTAAAGCTGAGCACCTCAATGAGAAATAAATTAAACAAGACTTTCCAACCCTCGTTCAAACAAAATTAGGAGACAAAAAAAAAAAAAAAAAAAAAAAAAGAGGTTGCTGACATTTTCGTTATCTCCTACCATTATGCAATATGTTATGAAATGATCACAACATAACAGTACTTTCGCATGAGGACACAACGATGGATTCAAATCGTCTCTGGGTCCAATTGGCTCACAGTTCAACCGAGCAGTTTACACTTTGGATGAATTTTCTTTACACTAAGAAATATTATCTGAAGAAGAAAAGGAAAGCCTAAGGAAAAGAAAGCTTTTAAGTGCTAATTAGAGCTTATCTTTGGGGCTTAATTTTCTGATATCATTCTTCTCACCAAGGAGGAAAATATATAATGTACAAGAGTGATTTACAAGGAAAGAAATAAACATCAAATAACCTAATTACAATCTGATTATAAGGACTCAAAAAAAAAGGTAACGAAACTAATTACAAAAGTCAACTCACCAACACTCCCCCTCAAGTTGGTGCATAAATGTCGTTCATACCCAACTTGACAAAAGAGTTGTAGAACGCTTGACTTGCAATAGGTTTAGTTAAGATATCCGCTAATTGATCCTCTGACTTTACGAACGGGAATTGAATAAAATTCTCATCCAACTTCTCCTTAATGAAGTGTCTGTCAACTTCCACGTGTTTTGTGCAATCATGTTGAATTGGGTTATGTGAGATATCAATAGCTGCTTTATTATCACAAAATAAATCTGAGGCTGAATTCGAAGGATACCCAAGTTCACCAAGTAACCTCTGAAGCCATAATAGTTCACATACTCCTTTTGCCATACCCCTGTATTCTGCCTTTGCACTTGATAAAACAACCACTTTCTGTTTCTTACTCCGCCAAGTCACTAAGTTTCCTCCCACAAATGTAAAGTAACCAGATGTGGACTGACGATCAGTAACGTTGCCTGCCCAATCTGCATCGGTGTAACCCTCTATTCGGCAATGATCATTCTTGGAAAACATGATACCTCTACTTGGTGGGGACTTCAGGTATCGTAGGATGCGTTCAACTGCACCCATATGTGCCTCACTTGAAAAATGCATAAATTGACTAACAACACTTACTGCGCATGCAATATCAGGCTTGGTGTGAGATAAATAAATTAACCTCCCAACTAACCTTTGATAACGATCTCTGTTAGTGGGAACATGATCAAGGTGCACGACTAGATGGTGATTTTGGACTATAGAGGTGTCGGTCGGTTTACAATCAAGCATTCTGGTTTCAGCTAACAAGTCAAGAACATATTTTCTTTGAGATAGAAATATACCCTGTTTAGATCAAGCTACTTCTATACCTAAGAAATATTTCAATCCACCAAGATCTTTCATCTCGAACTCAGTTGCTAAGTAATCTTTCAGGCTTGAGATTTCCTCTTTATCATCACCTGTAACAATCATATCATCCACATAAATAATAAGTGCCGTCAATTTACCCTTTCGACGTTTCAAGAAAAGTGTATGATCGGAATTGCTCTGCCTGAATCCAACTTCCTCATAGTCGTCCGGAACCTACCAAACCATGCTCGAGGTGATTGTTTCAATCCATACAATACCTTATTCAACTTACACACCAGTCTGGGTTGTGAAACCGATGCATAACCAGGTGGAATATCCATATACACTTCTTCTTTAAGATTACCATGTAAGAAAGCATTTTTCACATCAAATTGCTGTAATGGCCAATCCAAGTTAGCCGTCAACGAAAGTAACACTTTTACCGTATTAATGTTTGCTACCGGTGCAAATGTTTCTATATAATCGACACCATACGTCTGAGTGTATCCTTTGGCCACCAATCGTGCTTTGTATCGTTCAATTGACCCATTAGCTTTGTACTTGATGGTGTACACCCATCGACATCCCACTCTCTTCTTTCCTTGGGGTAGTAGAACTAAATCCCATGTTTGATTTTTCTGAAATGCATCCATTTCTTCCTCCATTACCTTGGTCCATCGATCATCAGATAGTGCCTCCTTCAATGAACTTGGTATGCTATCATTGGATATTTTTTGTACAAAAGCTTTGCCTGGTTCTGATAATTTATGTGATGACACATAGTTAGCAATGGGATATATAGAGCCTTTCGTTGTTTCCGGTGAATATCGATTGGGTGGCTTTCCCTGGTTATGCCTGAAAGGTAATTGATAATTCAGAACATCGGATACATCAATAGGGATAGTAGATCTTACCTTAAGAATATTCTCTGGAGTATGGTCATCTGGTGGTACAATATTTTGAGACGAGGGGGAGTGGTATCAGTAAAAGTCTCAAGATCGGCAAGTGGCAGCACTGTTGCCGTGGGTGAGCACGGCACTGCAGTGTCTGCCGCTAGTTCTGTGGGCAACGATGCTGCTTCTATTGGCTGGGCTGGCAGTGTAGCCAATGCGGGCTCGGCTAATAGTGGCAACGGAAGATCAGTGGTAGCAGCAGCCATGGTCCAAACCTGCTCGTCATGCAATGTCTCCCCCTGAAGAGGAGGGTTGGAAGAAGCCGAAGAGTAATACATCTCAGACTAAAAAAAAATAACATCATAGTAGTATACATCCGACATGAAGGAGGGTGGTAGCAACGATACCCTTTCTGATGTAATCCATACCCCATGAAAACACACCGGAAAACATATGGGTCAAGTTTTGTCCGTTGATTTTTATGTAGATGAACAAAGGCAACACATCCAAAAACTCGTGGTGGGAGCACCAAAACGGACGGTAGAGGCACGAATGTAGCAAGAACTTGCAAAGGTAGTCAGAAAATTCAATACTTTGGATAGCATACGGTTGATAAGGTAAGTGGCAGTCTGAAGAGCAACATCCCAAGATGCGCGGGGAACATCTATCCCAATCAATAGCGATCGAGCTGTTTCTAATATATGGCAATTTTTGCGCTCAGCCACCCCATTCTGTTGAGGAGTCTGAGGACAAGTAGTCTTGTGGAGGATTCCGTGATTAGTTAAATAATGTGTAAAATCATTATTAACATATTCACCACCATTATCAGAACGCAAAATCTAGATTTTAGTAGAAAACTGTGGCTAAACCATGGTGTGGAATGTCTTAAATGCCAGCAACACATCACTTTTATGCTTAAGAAGGTATAACCATGTCATTCGTGTGCAATCATCTATGAACGTTACAAACCACCTAATACTAGATGAAGTAGTAATCGGAGATGGTCCGCAAACATCCAAATGAACAAGACCAAAAGGAATATCACTTTTATTAGAATTCAATGAATAAGAGACACAGTGACTCTTGGCAAGTACGCAAGTGTCACATTTAAAGTCTGAAACCGAACAACCAACAAATAAATCCGGAAACATATGCTATAAATAACTGAAAGACGGATGACCCAAACGGTGATGCCATAACCATATCTGACGCTGTTTGTGATCAACGGCTCTTTGGGCGAGATTGACCCGTCTTGTACTGACATCGTCCACAAAATAGAGATCCCCCGTGAGAATATCCTGACCAATTATCTCTTTAGTACCACGACTAATTATCTCCTTCGTGAGAATATCCTGAATAAGACAAAACTTCGGATACAATAGTACACAACAATTCAATTGCTTAGTAGCTTGGCTAGGAGACATTAATTTATGCTTTAATGAAGGTACAAGTAGTGTATGCAGCAAAGAGAGGGTAGGCGTGAGGTGTACAATGTCAGCACTAGTTACCGGTGAGGTGACACCATTAGCATTAGTAATATTTCGTCGAAGTGGAACAGTATCACAAGATAAATTAGTGGGGTCATAGGTCATATGATCTGTGGCATCAGAGTCAATAATCCAATCAGACTGAGTATCACAATTATTCATATTAAAAGCATAACCATAGTTACCTGAGGACTCCAGAGGCATGTCAGAAGAACTCGAAACAGGAGGATTCATGGTAGGGTCAGTTAGGGTTGTAGTGTTTAGTATAGGGGTAGGATCGATTAGGATGAAATTGTTTCCACCATGGAGTGGTGGTAGGTTTTTCATGGGAAGGCCGAGTTTGCTTAAGGGAACAGGACAGAGCAGAAATCCTAGGATCTCTGCTCTGATGCCATGCTAATTAGAGCTTATCTTTGGGGCTTAATTTTTCGATATCATTTTTCTCACCAAGGAGGAAAATATATAATGTACAAGAGTGATTTACAAGGAAAGAAATAAACATCAAATAACCTAATTACAATCTGATTATAAGGACTCAAAAAGAAGGTAACTAAACTAATTACAAAAGTCAACTCTCCAACATTAAGAGGATAGTTCAACATACCTTGCAAATGAGAGTAAGAATTGATGGTGACATTCTGATACAAAGCAAGAGTAAGGTAAATGAGGAGAACCAAATGATGCATCAAGATGGAAGGGATCCAACCACTATATAACCCATAATGCAGCATATCGCACTGATCATATGCAAAGTAACCGCATGAGAAGCACAAAGCTGGGTATGCCCATGGCCAAGTATGTCCAACCAACTCCGAGTGCTCAAACATTCCAACCGAACCATTTCTTAAACACTGATTAACCAAAATGAATACCACTGCAAAAATAAACACGCTTAAGGTTCTTCTCCTCCTCCTCCTTCTCTGTTCTACCCTCCTGCAACTTCTTCTCTTCCTCCTCCTCTGTTCAACCCTCCTGCAACTTCTCATCCTCCTACTTCTCTGTTCTGCCCTCCTGCAACTTCTTCTCTTCCTCCTCCTCTGTTCAACCTTCCTGCAACTTCTCCTCCTCCTCCTCCTTCTTTGATCACCGCAAACCAGCTCGCTCTATTCCTCTCACATCACTTGCTCTCTCCTCTGAATCCAAGGTTCTTCCTCCATTTCTGAATCTGAGATTCTTCTTCCTCCTCCCTGTTCCGCCCTCCTCCTATTTTTCTTGCAATTTTTCTTTTTCTCTCTTTATTCTGCCCTCCTATTTTTCTTCCAACTTTTTTTTTTTTTTTTCAATTAGATTGAATGTAATTGTTGTTTTTCTCTCAAATTTTTGCAATTAATTTTATAAATTTTCAATTGCTAAAGAACACATCCGCCTCCTTTGGGTCATAACCTTTCTACTTTTGTTGGGCTGAAAGGTGGGTTTTGCTGGGTTTCGTGTTGCTGCGTTTGTGGTGAGGTTTAGTTTAAGGGAGCAAACAGGGAAGAAGAAGAAGGGATAGAAAGGGAGGGAAGGGGTGCGGCGGAGAGATTGGGAACAAAAGAGATGATTTCAGTTTTTTTTTTTTTTTAATTTTTTTTTTTTTTAAGTTTAATTCCTCTTATTCGGTATAATACCAAACACAGTATAAATAATACGATCATTAGTCCGATACTACACCAAACGCCCAACTAATTTAGTCAGTACTATCCGGTGACTATTTATCCTATTCAATAGAAATAATCAGTACAGTTCGAGCTGCCAAACGAGGCCTTATCTTAACGTCCAATATAATAGGAATGAAGAAAGATACACTCACGCTAGTTATAGAAAGAAGTTAAAAAACTCGTTTGGAAATGTATTGTAGGGGACTTGAAAATTTAATTGATTATACAAATGTCGAAAGCTAAGTACCTTGATTTTGGAACTTCAACGCAAAATGTTCTTCAATTTAGCTATTGCAAGTTCTTATCTTTATCCTATATGCAGGCACCTATTTCGTCTGTTGCCCAAAAATCTATAACATTGTAGTTAAGTATTCATACTATAAAATTCTACTTTTACAAATATTACAGGGAATAGTTTCTTTACACCCTGGGTTGCCACCATGGCCTTCGGACCAATGACACAATGCCATTGGTCCAGGGGACCAGAAAGCCATGGTGGCATTTCAGGGTTGTAGTGAAGTCTCTCATGCTGCCACTATGGCCTTTGGGCCAGTGATACAATGTCATAGGTCCGGGGGACCAGAAGGCCATAATGGCATCTCGAGGTTGTAGCGAAGCCTCTCTGTGCTCAGAGACCCCAGTCATATCCAATCTAATCAAAGAAACAATGGCTTCCAAACCAGCCTCAATCATAAGACGACATAAATCTAGGCACATAGGCAATCTTGATACCAAGTTACAACCTGCTAACCTGCTAGTGATGAACTGGGTTTTGAGTTAACAAAGTTCAAATGTTAATTTCAGTACAAAGATTCCATCTTTTGTTAAACTACGAAGCATACTCTATAACCCATCAGACATTTTACGCAAGAGTTAAAGAAAGAGAACTGAAGCGGAAGTTATGGAGGAATGGAGGAGAGAAACGGAGGTGTTGACAAAGAGAGGGTCACAAGAGACGAAACTGCGAACAACCCAGTTGGCCAATTGGTAAAAGAAGCAGCCGGCAACAATGGCGAGCAGCTCTAACTGCCGGTGGAAGAGTATTTCGAACAGGACTGAGACAAACCAAAGCAACAAAGTGGCTAAGAAGAAAGGTCCCACCTTGTCCTCTTTCAGACCTCTCGTTGTTCTGCTCATTATACTCTCTCTCCCCTTGCTTTACTTTCTCTCTACAGTAACTCCATTAAAAGTTAAAATAGGATGGCAAAGATATTTTAGAGGTTGTTCGTACTCGTAGTAGTTGAAAAAAAAATTAATGAAAAGAACTTGAGAAATGTTTGGCTGATTGTCTATCTGATTGGAGGTTGCTTGCTTCTTTTACTAGCAATCTAATGTTGGGCACTGGGCTGTGACTGTCAGTTTAGATATTGTTTCATTTATTTTGTTTTGGACAGGATTATTTACACAATCATTTTTATTTTTATATACCCTTGTTAATTTTAAGACACTGATTTTTTTAAATTTATTTAATCAAAGGATCGAATTGAGAAAGAGTGTGAGAAATAAAAATAATGTGTAAAAAACACTATTCTAACATTATTTTTATTTTGTAGCAATATTACATTCAACCATAGTTGCACAGTTTGCACTTTCTTGTCCAATTAACTCTGATAATCATACCAATGTCAATGTAAGAGTTTCTCTATTTCTTATTCATCATTTAAGGAATGTCTCAGTAGAATATCAATCACTTTGATGATTATCATCCATATGTGTCAAACTAATGATACTTCATCATAAGAATGTAAATTGTTACTATACTTATCAATTTGTTCTATGCATAAAGATAACTTATCAAGTTCCTATTAATTAATGATTTAAGCAAATAAGCCTGAATTTTGAAATTTATACAATTAAAAGTACGTTATTCACATATGAGTGAACAAGAAGCACACCCATAAGGTGGATGCAAATTTGTCCTTCACCTTGAGTTGCCTACTTACTCTATCTCATCCTCCTCTCTCCGTTAACCACCTTCTCTCTTCACCTCTTCCTCTCTTTTTTGTCTTCGTCTTTGCTTCTCTTGCAATCTTTTTATCTTCTCCTCTATTCTCCAAACCAAACAAAATCGATCCAACTTTAGCCAAAACCAAACCAAATTCATAGACTTCCTAGAAGTAATTCCCAAAAAAGCGCATAGAATGTGCTTATGTAAAAAGCACTAAAAATATTTTCTACCAAATTTTCTCTTAAGAGCTTTTAGTATCTAAAGAACAAACAACACGAATTGTAACACTTTTCTCATTGGTTAATGCTTGTTCCCCCATGGCCAGACTTACTTTGCCCTTTACTTATGATTAACGAACCTTTATTGTATTAATTAAAATTGGAACTGTTCATTCTCTTTATCATCGTCTAAAGATCATATTTGTAGAAAAATCATTCAATGGAGATCATTTAGTTATTCATATGTGTAAAACCCAATCAACAATTTTCGTACCATATAGCAACTTGTGACTGTCTATTTGTTTTATGCATATGAATGGTTGAATGAACTCAAAATTAGATAATTTTTTGCATGTCTGATCTTTAAATGACAATAAAATGAATGAACAATTTCAATTATAATGGTGGGACGGTAAAAGTTTGTTAGTCGCAAGTGGGAGGACAAGTAAGTCTCCCCATAAAAGAGACAAACATTATCCTTTTGCATCCCATCCCACGACGCATAACAACGATCAAACCATTTCAGCGAGCAAATGCCCGGCCCAAAGTTAACGCTATATCGGCCTGACCGCGAAGTTGAGCCCAACCCATTAAGCATGTCAAAGCACATACTCTCTCTTTTCAAATTTTTAATTGACTTGGAAATAAGATGCTACACACTAAGCACTCATCACAATTCACAACCATCAACATCTTTGATCACAAACAATCACCCTTTGCCAATCAATTTATCTTTTTTTTTTTTTTAAAGGGGACATCTGAGGGCAAGTTTCGATTATTTACTCATTTTAGGTACAATTATGGGGAATTTTACTATATCCGTGAGCCGTGGCCACAGTTAAGCAGAAGAGCATCGAACCTGGAACCTCCCACATTCAAAAAATTAGCATGTGACCCTTTACTACAGTGATGGAAATGACTTAAGCCTTTACATGATGATGTGGGTTTGAAGTTCATTGGTAACTAATCTAACAAATTTATCATTTTATAGAAAAATAAAATAAAATTAGAGTTGAAGCACCCACCCACTTCGAAACCCAACCCACTTGAAAAATCGAAGTGCCTAAATACACTAAACGGGGTGGGTAGATCAAGAAATCTTGGTCATCCGAGCTGGCAAGATATATGGGCCCCACTTCTGCCAGATACTCCTCGACACAAGCAAATAGTATGTGGAACTAAAGCTTGCCACGTGTGATCCGACTGCATCCACGTGGCGTATCGTGGGAGGAGAACTGAGATCGCGGGCTACAGTAGCCACTTATCAACAAAACCTTCCAACAATAAATTTGTGACACCAATGTCTCTTACGTTTCTCTCTCTCTCTCTCTCTCTCTCTCTCTCTCTCTCAATCTATGCCATGAGTCTGTCAGCTTCAAACGCCATGACCATTGTAGCCACAGCTGCAGCTCTATCTCTGCCAATATCTTTTTGCAGAACAACCAAGCTTAGCACCAGGAAGGTACGAATTCATACTCCACTTATCAAATCTGAGAGACTTGTACGTTGAAATGTGGAATAATGCATGTTAGGGGTTTTTTTCGAAAGCGGTTTTAGATAATCAAAAGCGCTTATGATAATGTTTGGTATGACAGATTAAAAGTGTTCATGTATTGCAAAAGCGACTTTTAGGGTTTTTATTTGAAGTTTCGGTCGTTCTTCAAAGTTCAAACTGCTTATGTGGATAAGTGTTTTCTAGATAAGCATTTCCAAACAAGCCCATAATCTAGTGTGTTTGATAAGTGCTTAAAAGTATACAAATTTGGATAGGTTTCACCTTTATTTAAGTGGCCACAAGCTAATTTTGAAGGGGAATTTAGTTGGTTTGTTGGTTAATTGAGTTGTCGATTGAAACTAGTGCTTATGTTGCGAGTATAAATACCAAACACAGTATAAATACCAAACACAGTATAAATTCCAAACACAGTATCGGACTAGTGCGGAGAGCATTTGGCTGGCATACCTTTGGTCTAAGGTTTGCTTACGGTTGTTTTACTGTTTTGCAGGTTGCTCAGGTTTACTCGGTTTTGTGCTCAATCACCGCTCATAGACGTGCACAAATTTGGTTCCAACAATCATCAACTAAATATGTTTATAATTTCATTTGCTTGTACACGTTCTGGATATAGTTAAGAGATCAACATCGAAAATTTTTCACTCTTCATCGTACACATACCAAGTCCCCACATACTCCCTTCTTCGCCATTCTATAATGTGGTTCATTCATTGAAATCGTTCATTCTTTATGTATCTTGTAAATAATTGTTCTTGAAAAAATAATCAGACGTTGAAAATTGTTTGATGATTAAAAATGTTCATACAGGCACAATACATCATATAAATATAAAAAGACAACGACAAAATTCAATTTGAGTGAATGTTTGAGGGGCGATACAATAGAATGAAAACCTAAAGGATAGATTATTTTGATAATAGATCTCAATTTCATCATAATATAATTTTTTTTTCCTTCTTTTTTTTTTTTCTAAAATAAAAAAGGGAGACAACTGTAACAAACCACAATTATCCATCCATTTTGGCCCCTGAGAGGCCATAGGAAATTTCACCGTGGCCACAATCAAGCAGAAATAAAATGGTTATCCAACAACCCTTAGCTTTTAAAGCTTTCAAAACAAAAATGCGCAGATTCATTACAAGATTCAAGATTGGCTTCAACAACATACATTATCTCACTCAAACAACACTTGAGAGCCAAAACTAAACTTCGAACTAACAACTCTCTTATGAGCTCACAACATCCTCATATATGCATATAACCAAAGGACTCACAAATGTATATACATGTATCTTTCACCTGATTGCATGACACTAAGAATACCATGGTAACCTACACAGGCTTCCAAACAGTAAGCACCTCCTGAAACATTTCCGTCATCAATTCTCGGTCTGCATGCCTGAAAAAGTTACTTACTTCTTCTCTCACGTCATATATTTTTCCAAAATCAAACAAGTACATCAAGCATCCTTTCTTAAGCTTATTCAGCTGGTACAACCAGGCGTCTTGCAGCCTCTCAAGGACGTTCGTCGAGTTAATATCTTCCAAAAGGCTTTCCTCACAAGCATCTTTTAAGTATGCAATGTCGTACTTGTTTGCCGCACCTAGAAGTGCCAACCGGTGCTTCCAGAAATCTTCTTGTTTAATGGTTCCATAGAGGTAACTTAGAAGAGCCATGCAAGATTCCAGGGACATGTCTACTATGTGGATTATGGAGGACTCTTTTTCCTTAAGGTCGTGACTGAACATGCTTTGGAACACGGGAGAAGTTGCAGAAAGAATTGCTTTGTGAGCTCTTAAACTGCCATCAGCAGTGTTGATAGTAACATCCCACTGACAATAAAATGACAATAAAATGAATGAACAATTTCAATTATAATGGTGGGATGGTAAAAGTTTGTTAGTCGCAAGTGGGAGGACAAGTAAGTCTCCCCATAAAAGAGACAAACATTATCCTTTTGCATCCCATCCCACGACGCATAACAACGATCAAACCATTTCAGCGAGCAAATGCCCCGCCCAAAGTTAACCCTATATCGGCCCGACCGCGAAGTTGAGCCCAACCCATTAAGCATGTCAAAGCACATACTCTCTCTTTTCAAATTTTTAATTGACTTGGAAATAAGATGCTACACACTAAGCACTCATCACAATTCACAACCATCAACATCTTTGATCACAAACAATCACCCTTTGCCAATCAATTTATCATTTTTTTTTTTTTAAAGGGGACATCTGAGGGCAAGTTTCGATTATTTACTCATTTTAGGTACAATTATGGGGAATTTTATTATATCCGTGAGCCGTGGCCACAGTTAAGCAGAAGAGCATCGAACCTGGAACCTCCCACATTCAAAAAATTAGCATGTGACCCTTTACTACAGTGATGGAAATGACTTAAGCCTTTACATGATGATGTGGGTTTGAAGTTCATTGGTAACTAATCTAACAAATTTATCATTTTATAGAAAAATAAAATAAAATTAGAGTTGAAGCACCCACCCACTTCGAAACCCAACCCACTTGAAAAATCGAAGTGCCTAAATACACTAAACGGGGTGGGTAGATCAAGAAATCTTGGTCATCCGAGCTGGCAAGATATATGGGCCCCACTTCTGCCAGATACTCCTCGACACAAGCAAATAGCATGTGGAACTAAAGCTTGCCACGTGTGATCCGACTGCATCCACGTGGCGTATCGTGGGAGGAGAACTGAGATCGCGGGCTACAGTAGCCACTTATCAACAAAACTTTCCAACAATAAATTTGTGACACCAATGTCTCTTACGTTTCTCTCTCTCTCTCTCTCTCTCTCTCTCTCTCTCAATCTATGCCATGAGTCTGTCAGCTTCAAACGCCATGACCATTGTAGCCACAGCTGCAGCTCTATCTCTGCCAATATCTTTTTGCAGAACAACCAAGCTTAGCACCAGGAAGGTACGAATTCATACTCCACTTATCAAATCTGAGAGACTTGTACGTTGAAATGTGGAATAATGCATGTTAGGGGCCTTTTTTCGAAAGCGGTTTTAGATAATCAAAAGCGCTTATGATAATGTTTGGTATGACAGATTAAAAGTGTTCATGTATTGCAAAAGCGACTTTTAGGGTTTTTATTTGAAGTTTCGGTCGTTCTTCAAAGTTCAAACTGCTTATGTGGATAAGTGTTTTCTAGATAAGCATTTCCAAACAAGCCCATAATCTAGTGTGTTTGATTAGTGCTTAAAGGTATACAAATTTGGATAGGTTTCACCTTTATTTAAGTGGGCACAAGCTAATTTTGAAGGGGAATTTAGTTGGTTTGTTGGTTAATTGAGTTGTCGATTGAAACTAGTGCTTATGATCTTTATCTAATGAATATAGACCAAATTATCATGTGGTGGCTTAGGTGGTTGGGTTTGTTAAATTTCAGGGTGTGAAAGGAGGATTTCGAGTATTTGCTGTATTCGGAGAGCAGTCAGAGATAGAGAAGAAGAATGCTTGGAGCACACTCTTTGATGTGGAGGATCCAAGGTCGAAATTTCCACAATCTAAAGGCAAGTTTCTGGATGCAAACCAGGCCTTGGAAGTTGCTAGATTTGATATACAGTATTGTGATTGGCGAGCTCGACAAGATGTGCTTGCAATCATGCTCCTCCATGAAAAGGTCAGAGTGCTAGATGAGTAACTTCTATCTGGATTCTAGACGATATATCAAGTTCGAATCTCAAAATCTTGAAAAATTCTAGTGATGCGCATTGAGCATTGATTCATGGGGGGAAACTATTGTTTAGTTAGTAATTATCTTTTTAGCTTTTGAAATTTCCGTTGGGATTCTTACACTCGAGTATGGCTGCTCAGGTTGTGGACGTTCTAAATCCTCTAGCCCGAGAATATAAGTCTATAGGTACTGTCAAAAAGGAGCTCGCGGAGTTGCAAGAAGAACTAGGAAAGGCTCATAGACAGGTACATAATTTTTTAACACCTGAAGATATAAAACCTTGTAACTTGCAAATAACTTGAAATTGCCTTCCATTTATCCGCCTTGAAAATTGAGTAGCACTTACGAAGATTAACTAGTTCTAGACTATTCAGCTGATCAGATACTACTATTGAAATTGAATTACAACAGGTTCATATATCGGAAGCAAGGGTTTCCACAGCGTTGGATAAATTGGCTTACATGGAAGAATTAGTGAATGATAAGCTGTTACAAGATAGAGCAACTATATCTTCCGAGGAAGCATCCCCTTCTCCCAGCACTTCTACGCAATCTCTAGATTCTGTAAAAAGGAAGCCTCCTCGAAAATGCTTGAACGTTTCAGGTCCAGTTCAATCCTACCATCCCCGATTGAAGAATTTTTGGTATCCTGTTGCCTTCACCACTGACCTGAAAGATGATACCATGGTAGGCTAGTTCTTCGAATTTGTCATTCATTATTTGTGCATTAGCTACATTAGCATTAACAACAACAACAAAAAACATAGTTAGTTCAGCGGCATAGGTTTTCGTTGCTATATTATAGTTTGAACATTATGGAGTTTGATATTATCTATCGGTTACACTTCTTCTGCGGAGTTAATCTTTTGAAGAACTTGTTTTCTAGCATGTCTTATAGTAAAAGTCTCATCGATTTTCTTTTTTCAGGTTCCACTTGATTGTTTTGAGGAACCATGGGTTCTCTTTCGTGGAAAAGATGGGAAACCTGGATGTGTGCAGAATACTTGTGCGCACAGAGCTTGCCCTCTTGACCTCGGCTCAGTAAATGAGGGCCGTATCACGTGCCCTTACCATGGTTAGTGACATCTTTAAAGGGCATTGCCATTTGCGCTATAGTTAGGTCATAAAGTACGACAATGGACATTTTAAGATTATAGGACTCAACATTTTGACAACATTGTGATGGATAAATTTCAGGGTGGGAGTATTCAACCGATGGAACATGTGAAAAAATGCCATCTACGCGATTACACAAGGTGAAGATTAAGTCATTGCCATGTTTCGAGAAAGATGGAATGTTGTGGATTTGGCCCGGTGCTGATCCTCCGTCATCCACTCTTCCTTCTTTACAACCTCCTGCAGGATTTCAAATCCATGCCGAGGTATGCTGCAGATAAAATTCCTATCCTTTTAGCTCTTCTAAAACAAGGTTTAGTGATTGTTTCTATACATGGACGAGTGTTGTAACATTTTTCTACTGTTCTTGGCAGCTCGTCATAGAACTCCCAGTGGAACATGGGCTGCTTCTTGATAACCTTTTAGATCTCGCTCATGCTCCTTTCACTCACACGTCCACCTTCGCGAAGGGATGGAGTGTTCCTAGGTTTGTTTCTTTTTTCTTTTTTGAAGAATCGAAGATCTATCCATCAGTGTGGAATTGCTTCTGTTGTAGCGCGTTGTTTCACAACAAATCCTTTCCATCAGGATTTAATGTGGTGAATGATCTGAATTTTCAGCTTCGTGAAATTCTTGACGCCTGCGTCTGGCCTCCAAGGATATTGGGACCCTTATCCTATAGATATGGAATTTCGACCACCTTGTATGGTAAATTCAACCATCGGGATCTCAAAACCGGGAAAACTGCAAGGACAGAGTACTAAACAGTGTTCCACACATCTTCATCAACTCCATGTATGCTTACCTTCTTCGAGAGGTAAAACAAGATTATTATACAGAATGTCACTGGATTTTGCGCCCGTGCTGAAGCACGTTCCCTTCATGAACTTTATGTGGAGGCATTTTGCCCAACAGGTAAACAAAATTGTTTGCGACATACTTTACTTTTCACATAACCATTTTTTCTCGCATTCCTGCTTACAAAATTTGTTGTGTTCAATCCACAGGTTTTGAATGAGGATCTAAGGCTCGTCCTAGGTCAACAAGAGCGAATGAACAACGGGGCAAATGTCTGGAATTCGCCGGTGACCTATGACAAGCTAGGAGTGAGGTACAGGCAATGGAGAGACGCCTTGGAACGAGGAGATAAACAACTACCCTTCACCAAATCAACTTAAACCCGAATCCAAAACAACAAATCCCTCTTTGCGATGAAAAACTCTGGAACCAACCTGCTTGCTTGAATGGTCTCCTCCGGCACAAACTTGCAAATAACATGATCATCCAGTAACTGGCTGACAAGCCCTTGCAGTTTGGTACTCCTTGGCTCAAATAAACCAATCCAAGAGCGACGCGGCGGGAACTTTTAACTGATCTGAGGCAAAGAAGAAAATAGTATCTGCATAGAAACACCCTTGTACAATTGAAGAGAAGAAGCTGTGCACTACTTTTTTTTTTTTTGTTTTTTTGCTTTCTTTTTTGTGTACAGTGTTAATATCTTTTTCCTTTTTCTCCTTAAATGCCTTTGATTTGTAACGTAAGCAACGCGTTCGTTCATGGTAAAGAGTACAAAAATCTTTTAGCGTTGTCGATAACGAATACAATGACATTCGTCTTTGCCAAGACTCAAGAAACTACTCTTACATTACACATTGCATATCAACTTCTGCTGCATTTTCTATTTACCTTAAAACTATCAACGCCGAAATTTATCTATTTAGCCTTCGTGCACCTAGCTCCGATACTCATAGCAGCTAGCTAATGCATCAAGTCCCCTGCACTTCAGTACCAAGCACAACACCGGAAACTTTCCATAAGACTCCCTCCATCGTCGGTAACATAGCAGAAAGCTGAATGGCTCAACGCAATCAATTAAATCATTAGTTCCTTCGTGTTGGTTAGAAACATGGATTGACCTTTGGTTAAAAGTGATATACAAATCAACAATTGCTATGGATTTATATGAATGATCACATATCAACACACAAACACACAAAATTTATGAGAGAAGCGGCCATACCAAGACAAGAACCTTGCCATCAACTATCAAACACCGTGATTTCGACCATAATCTCGTAGGCCAATGTGATCAAGCCAGCAGGTGTGGCAACTGAGAAACACCAACAGGTTGATATAATCACGTCAATCACTAATCCAATCCAATACAAGATATCCCAAATTCAAGTCCAAGAATTTACCTTTCGCAATCCAATCCAATCCAATGCAATCAAGTGGGCATCTTGAAGCGGCAATAGGGGCACATGTGACTTCTCTTCAGCCATTCAACAATGCAATCTTTATGATACAGATGATTGCAGGGCATGAGCACAACCTCCAATCCGGTCGAAAGCTCCTCCAAACAGATGCTACATTCCTTGCTCACACCCAAATTCTCAATGTTCACAGTCTTTAGTCCGGCACCCAATGACTTGGCGCCAGGGACAGGATTATAAACCCGCCCAGATTCCACAATAGCCCTCTCAATCTGTTCCCGGTCATCAAAAGGGGTCACAGCAAGGACATCCAAATCCAGCGGGACTACTATCGGCTCAGTATTTTCAGAGTCCCGGGTAATCTCCACAGCCAAAGCATAAACTTCCGGCACCAGAGTCTCCACAAAGTCCATGGAAACTCCAGTCCCGGATAGAATGGTCTGGATTGTTTCTCGGGTCTGTGAGAAAAACACATGAAAGGGGACAAGGAACGATTGTTGGATTGAATTGAGTGGGACAATCAGGTCCTGGGGGAAGAACAGTTGGAGTTGGTGGGTGAAGTTGAAGCGGAAGATGAAACAGTCGCGGGATAGGAGGTGGTGGGTGTTTGGTAGGACTTGGTTGTGCTGAGTGATTGAGTATTGGTAGAGGGTGGAAGCCATTGGAGAGCTCAAAGAAACAAACTGTGAGGAAGGGGAAGTACCGAAGGGGTTCGTTCTAAAAGTTTTGGGAAAATTCTTTTGGTCTGTAATTTGATCGAGATCGTGGAAAAAGTATCGAACTGTGTGAATTTATGTGTTACTTACTTAGTCCAGTCGGTTTGCTGGGCTACCCAGGTTCTAAGTAACATTACCAATTGGCAAAGAAAAAAGTGTGAATTGCCGATTTTCCCCCTAAAGTTTCACTTAATTTTTTACTTCTCTAAATTTTTAAAGAGGCTTTTAGATCCAGGTCAAAAAATGTAAAGTGTTTTTAGGAGTAAGTCCAGTTATCTAATTATATGGTTTTATTTCTTTTATACTCATTTTCTATTTTCTAAAAATATTAAAAATCAATTAAAATATTCTAATATTATGCATTTTCCAACTCCAAAAGAATATATTTAATATCTTATAACAAAAAAACTAATATACTAACATAAATTTATCTGCAAAACATTCTACCCTAACTCAAGTAACAAATATATGAATGTATATAATACCTATACGTGAGATATGAAACCTAATTAAAAGGTAGAAAAAAACATAACATACCTACAAGCAAGACACATTAATCTGTGACAGGTTGATTATAAAAAAAGAATATGTCATATAGGTAGATAAATATAATTAACCTGTGATATAGGTTGATTATAAAAATTAAAAATAAAATCTATAAATGGGGTTTAAAGTAGGAGGAAGAACGAGAAATAACAAAAAGATAAATAAAAAGAAATAAGCAAAGAGATAATTGGAAAGAAATTTGATTTTTATAATAAATCTTATCATTGAACAGATAACTATTGATAATTAAATAATTAAATATAACAAATTGGACTTATTTTAATAAATTGGACTATTCCTACTATTGGCTCAAAAAATTGGACTTATATCAAGTTTCCCCTTTTTTAAATTGGAAAATCATGGATTTGAACTAATTTTTCTGACCAATTTCTCCTGCTGTTAGTTTTTTATTAATTCCATCTAAATTTATGTTAAATGAAAATATGTGCACAATGTATGAGAGTAGTTTGATCACTTCATTCTTTGAAATAATTGAAAACCCTAGATTTCTAAAGTGTTGACTTGTGCAAATATGTGTGAATCTCTAAAGGTCTAGCGAAGTATCGTTTTTATTCTCAAATGAGAGTCACGTGGTGTGCACGAGATAAGAGTTAACGTTAATTTGGATGAAATCTATGGAAAACTAATAGTAAGGGAGAAATGGTAAAACAATATCTACTTACTAGATATCCTCTAAGATTCTCCTGGCTTAGAACGAGGTTTCTATCCTGAAAAAAAAAAAAAATCTCTCTCAAGGTATAAATACACCCATCTAGAGTTCATGTACGGTAAAACAATCTACCCACTTGAATTCTCTTGCCCATTGCTTGACTCAAATCATTCACTAACTTGACTGTCGGAGAACATTTGGCCGACACACCTCTGGTCTAAGGTTTGCTTACGGTTGTTTTACTGTTTTGCAGGTTGCTCAGGTTTACTCGGTTTTGTGCTCAATCACCGCTCATAGACGTGCGCAAACTTGGTTCCAACAATCATCAACTAAATATGTTTATAATTTCATTTGCTTGTACACGTCCTGGATATAGTTAAGAGATCAACATCGAAAATTTTTCACTCTTCTTCGTACACATACCAAGTCCCCACATACTCCCTTCTTCGCCATTCCATAATGTGGTTCATTCATTGAAATCGTTCATTCTTTATGTATCTTGTAAATAATTGTTCTTGAAAAAATAATCAGACGTTGAAAATTGTTTGATGATTAAAAATGTTCATACAGGCACAATACATCATATAAATATAAAATATCATTAAAAATGTTCATACATGTACAATACATCATATAAATATAAAATGACAACGACAAAATTCAATTTGAGTGAATGTTTGAGGGGCGATACAATAGAATGAAAACCTAAAGGATAGATTATTTTGATAATAGATCTCAATTTCATCATAATATAATATTTTTTTTTCCTTTTTTTTTTCTAAAATAAAAAAGGGAGACAACTGTAGCAAACCACAATTATCCACCCATTTTGGCCCCTGAGAGGCCATGGGAAATTTCACCGTGGCCACAATCAAGCAGAAATAAAATGGTTATCTAACAACCCTTAGCTTTTAAAGCTTTCAAAACAGAAATACGCAGATTCATTACAAGATTCAAGATTGGCTTCAACAACATACATTATCTCACTCAAACAACACTTGAGAGCCAAAACTAAACTTCGAACTAACAACTTTCTTATGAGCTCACAACATCCTCATATATGCATATAACCAAAGGACTCACAAATGTATATACATGTATCTTTCACCTGATTGCATGACACTAAGAATACCATGGTAACCTACACAGGCTTCCAAACAGTAAGCACCTCCTGAAACATTTCCGTCATCAATTCTCGGTCTGCATGCCTGAAAAAGTTACTTACTTCTTCTCTCACGTCATATATTTTTCCAAAATCAAACAAGTACATCAAGCATCCTTTCTTAAGCTTATTCAGCTGGTACAACCAGGCGTCTTGGAGCCTCTCAAGGACATTCGTCGAGTTAATATCTTCCAAAAGGCTTTCCTCACAAGCATCTTTTAAGTCTGCAATGTCATACTTGTTTGCCGCACCTAGAAGTGCCAACCGGTGCTTCCAGAAATCTTCTTGTTTAATGGTTCCATAGAGGTAACTTAGAAGAGCCATGCAAGATTCCAGGGACATGTCTACTATGTGGATTATGGAGGACTCTTTTTCCTTAAGGTCGTGACTGAACATGCTTTGGAACACGGGAGAAGTTGCAGAAAGAATTGCTTTGTGAGCTCTTAAACTGCCATCAGCAGTGTTGATAGTAACATCAGCATGGATGCCCTCATAAAGCATGCGAGAGAGGCACCGGAGAGTGCTTTGGGTTGACACGGATTGCATCAATCCATCAGCAGGCCATACAGGACTAGCTTCCCCGCCCTGATTTCATAAAATAACTTACCACTCTTAAGGGATGTATACATACATAGTTGAACTAAAATACAATTGCAAGAAATCATGTCCTCCAGACACCGGTACTGAGCTACATGTTAGTTAATCTGGGTAAAACAAGCTAAAAACAGAATAATTGTTTCCACAGTTAAATGATGGTTTGCCTCCCATGGTCCACCAGTGAGGAGATAACCAACAATAATGGAAATTCATTTGGTGTGATACAACAAATTTTATAAAGAAACTAACACACAGATAATTATGCTATGGAACTTACATTTAAAGGGCACATCTTCAAGTCGAGAAACTCAACATCAATGATGAAGCGACCAAGGAAGGTGGAATCAACAGGCCAGACAAAGTCTTCACTTGTACGAAGCAGTCTTTCATGAACTGTAACAAGAGGCAGAACAACATCACAGGAACAGAATTACTGCTTAATGCATTCTGGATTAAAAGGAAAAGAAAAGGCCATAAAAAAGGAGATTTCTAAAACAAATATATGTGAGGTAAATATTTCTGATGACATTTAAATTTTCCAGAGTTCCGGTGGGCGAGGGGAATTTTGCTGTCTGAATTTGTTGTGTCTAGTTACATATTAATTTATACCATGTTTTGACGAGCACACTGAAACACAGGTATATGATATATTTGACAAGGGACATGTGAAGATCCTCTATCAGTTCTGCCTCAATATATCACTGGAGAATTCACACAAAACATATCTAAGAAAACAACAAAAACAACCATTTCGCTAAGCACTACTACAGTATCGATTTTGTTTTCATTTCCTCTGTAGTCTAATTATGTACTACTTCCAATAACTCGACTCAGCTATTGCCAACTTACGAACATTTCAATCACTCATATACTAACTTCCAAAAAAGTATAGAAACCATATCAAACCCATATGAACAATGGAAGAGATTGATCTATATTCGGCTAAGAATTACCCCTTCGATTGAAAGAGAAACACCCTTTAGCATTTGAAGTTGCATTTTACACAATTTTGGGCTGATGGGCACCCAAGCAACCCTAATAAAATCCAATTTAACCACATTCCCAAAGGTGACAAATCCACAGCAATCATCGTCACCAATCAATCACAAACCACCCCAAAAAGTTCAAGAATTTGAATTGAAAGTGCAAGAGAAAGAGAAATACCAGGAGAGATGTAAGGCTTACGGCCGGGGCCGGGGCTAGAGACTCTGAGAACAAAGCGAGCAAGGGGAGGCTGTTCTTTCGACACCCGCGACGGCTCTGGAAACAGACGAATGTAGAGGTACCGATTCTTCTCTATCGAAAAATGCCTAATTTCCCAACCAAGAAAGATCATCAAATTTCATAACCCACATAAACAGATGAATCAAAGTAAAAAAATGGGGATTGCGGGCAGTACCAATTCCAGATTCCGAGCCGGAAAGGGTCGGACTTTTTGTAAGAGCAAGGTCCGAAGTTCTCGATCCTCCATTGGGCTAATCGGGAGATTGTCTCCACTTTGGAATCGGCCATGTTTTGAGCTTTGAGCTTTCTGTCTCTCTCTCTCTCCAGAGCTCCGCCAGCAGCAGTACCAGCTGGGTTTGAAGTTTTGGAGGTTGTCTCTCTCAGTCAGACCATGAGTCTGAGAGTCTCAGAGAACCCATTGACATTGTGTGTTGCTTGTTGAGTGATGAATTGTTTGTTGACGCGGTCCTCGGATGCTAGTTCATACACAAACTTCCAAATACGTCGTCTCGTCGATTTCTTTCTTTCTATATCGAACACTGTTTATATTTTTCATAGAATATTAAAGGAATATCGACCTCAAAGCCATGCGTATAAAAATACTTTTAAAATATCTAAAAGTATTTTTTTTATGAGAATATTTTTAGAATTAATTTTTAGTAAAAATACAAGTAAATCTTGAAAAAAACACTTAAAATAAATAGCTAATACTTCTTGCAGAATGCACTTCAAGTGTTTTTGAAACCCAAAAACACTTTCTCTAAAAGCTCCTTAAATAATTTTAAAAGCACTTCTAAATAAGTTATATTTCATGAAAAACTCAAAAATCAAAAATTTTATATATTAAACCTTTTTATTATCCTTCTAATAATTGTATTACCTTTGTTATTAAATTTTGTTTTGCTCGTGTTTAATGTTCTTTTATGACGTCAAGAATGGACTTGTAATTAAGTAGAGTGTTAAGTTGATTGGTTGTATTATGATACTATTTGGGCTCAAAATAATATTGTTGAGCCGAGTGTAGGTTTGTGCTCAGCCCAAAGCTGTGTCAAAATGCTATGGGCTGCCTGATGATTCCGGGCCATTTAGCAGGGATAGTCGAGTCCTATCGCAAGAATGAGTAGTCCAGATAAGCAAAGAGGGTCGAGGAAGTCCTAGTGCAACTAGGATTCTCGACCAGCAATGAATAAAGCCCCGAAGGGGGGTGAGTTCAAAGTCCTAATGGAAGTAGGGTTGTTTGAAGCAAAGTTGGAACAGAGTAAGGACTCCCAATCCAGATAGGGGTTTAATTTGATCTCAAGGAGTTGGTGCTATAAATACAAGAAATCATGCAACAAAGAAGGACCTTCAATTTAACATACAATTGCTCTGCGCAAAACCTCTCAAACATCTTGAGATTTTTCCTTTTCTTTTTTCCGCCGACACACCTTCAGTTTGGATAAACAACACTGTTGTCGTAGAATCAGCCGACCGAGGAGCACCTTTAGTTTGGATAAACAGCACTGCGTCGAGGCCGACTGGTTACCTATCCAAGTCTCGGCCGAGAAGGGTTTTCGAATCTTTATTGGCAGGGGTCATCTTATCAGCCCTCTCGGCGAAGTAAGGTGTTACGAGTTACGACATTCGCTGTACCGGACGCTGAGTGATTTTATGATTGGATATTCACAAGTGAGTTTTAGAGTTCGGCATTCTGACAGCCGAACCACGTTCACCATCAAGACATACATCACCTTTGAATATTTGTGTCTGTATAGTCTGGTGTCGATTCGACGTGCTTATACTCTTACGAATATAGTCACGGTGACCGAATTGGGTGCCGACGATTTGTGAACTTCGGAGATGCAGCAGCCTTGTCTTTAGGCTCTAGAACCCAAGATCGAGAGTGTTCCTTCCTCGGTCGCAGTTGCAAGATAAAGAAGTCAGCAACGCGCTCAACGCGACAACAACGAATTTTACTCCTTGGCCGAGCTCGGCCAACGAGTTGGCCTGCTCGCATTCAACCGAAGCACGTAGTTAGCTTATTAGTTACTCGGCCTGCGCGCCACGTAAGTTTTGTAATTTTTCGAGTCAACAAATACAAAGCCAAATCCGAAGCCTTGAAGGTCATATAAAGGGACCCTCCCAACTATGGATAGATGGCAAATCACTATCAACAATTGAGATGAATTAAGCTTGCACAAAGATGTAATGCATGAAAGGTAATAAGGGAAAGGGATCCTCCCTTCCTCCTAATCTATTAAATCAGTGGATCTTGACTATTGAAATTTGATCTAACGATTAATTCCACATAAAAATAATAAAAAATAAAAATAAAAAACTCAAAAAGGTATTTTAAAGTAGTAGAAAGTTTCCACTGCCACATGAAAGTAACATTTTCTTTGATGTGATGAATTATCAATCTTGCTGGGGAAGTAAAGGTGTCCATATCCACCCAAATGGAACTATCTATAGTGGGACATGACAGGACATTATTAATAATTATTAAAGCAGAAAACAACGGACATGAAATGGATTAAAAACAAAAACAACTTAACAAACAAAGCCCCATGATAATAAGATTAAATGATATATGATTAAAAATATTACCAGGATTTATCTGATAATGTTTGAAAATGAAATGGTAAAGATAAATAATCTTTATATATAAAGCCAACAATTTTTTGCTCTTTCCTAAATATATAACTAATCTCTTCTAAATAGCTAGATTTAAGGCACAAACTGATTTGGATAAAATAAGATAGGATAGGATAAGTTTAGTTAGGATAGGATAAGATAAGGTTGGATAATGTTCCTTATTTCTTGCTCTTTCCTTATCTTCTTTGTATTTGATTTTCTTTCTCCATATTTGTAGCCTTTCCTAGCCTCTCTTGACTTCAATTTCGTCAATCCACTTTGCTCCATAGTTAAGCTATCCAATCCATGCTCAATATTGCTCCAAATAGCTCCAAAATGCACTTTCTTGCTCCTTTTGCCATTAGGACCTAAAAACATACGAAAATAGCTTAAAAGACTATAATAAGTAGTAGTTAACTAACTAAATGCAAAGAAACAACATAGTTAAGTAGCATAAATATGCTCCTATCACACAATCATGTCACCCAAAGTCCACATCAACAATAGCGGTTAAAAAAGACATCACTATTGTTTTTCAAACGAAATGTTATTTCCTATGTGGCATGACATGAAATGGCATCAGAGGAAATTGATATCAAATTTGACAGCAACTTCAAATATATTTTTGGTAATTAATAAATTCTTTTTCATAATTTATATTCATATCTTTTGTTTTAAAACACTAATTACAACTATAAAATAATGTAATAAAATAATAATTTAAATTTGACAATATGTGCCTCAAATTTAAAATTTATCTTACAATTCCTGCCATTCAGTATGATGTTTTGGTGGTATTCCTCTTTATTTGTAAATGAGGGGTCTTAGATTCGAATCTCGTGGACGACGAATTCGATACCAAATTAGATTGCCCGTTATGTGTCACATCCTCGCCCGGGGGGGACCACTTCCCGGGCCCGCTCCACCACCGTAGCACGATATTGTCCGCTTTGGGCCCCGACCACGCCCTCACGGTTTTGTTTCTGGGAACTCACACGAGAACTTCCCGATGGGTCACCCATCCTGGGAATGCTTTCGCACGCTACTCGCTTAACTTCGGAGTTCCCATGGAACTCGAAGTCAGTGAGCTCCCAAAAGGCCTCGTGCTAAGTAGGGATGAGAATATACATATAAGGATCACTCTCCTGGGTGATGTGGGATGTCACATTATGTGGTTTAGTCGAACTCCCTCTTTTTTCCTAAATGTAAAATATATTATTGTATTAAAAATAAAAAATTAAAATTTGAGGAGACCGTCTTACCCTCTAAACTCTCTCTCTCTCTCTCTCTCCAACCAAACTCCCTTTTTTTCCTAAATGTAAAATATATTGTTGTATTAAAATAAAAAAATTAAAATTTGAGGAGACCGTCTTACCCTTTAAACTCTCTCTCTCTCTCTCTCCCTCTCCCTCTCTCCACTTAACTGCCAACCCTTTTTTTCCAAATGCCTACCAAGCCCGATAAAAACAAATAATTCCTTCTCTCTCTCTCTCTCTCTCTCTCTCTCTCTCTCTCTCTCTCTCTCTCTCTCTCTCTCTCTCTCTCTCTCTCTCTCTCTCTCTCTCTCCCCCCTCTTAACTGCCAACCCCTTTTTTCCGAATGCCTACCAACTCCGTTAAAAACAAATAATTCCTTCTATAAAAAATTGAAAAACAATATTTAAAAAAAATTATATTTCTCACGCATAGGTTGTGTGGCCTTCGCTATTAAAATTTTCAAAATATTAATGGAATTCAACTATTTTTGAATGATAATGTTAGAGAGACTAAAATTTTTAAGTCAAATGATGTGATTGTAGGTGATTTGATTATTTATTAAGTGTCCGTCAATATGTTAATTTGATTTAAAAATTAGATCTCCCTACTATTATTATTATTATTATTATTTATTATTATTTATTATTATTTTTATTTTAAAGGGAATAACTGATGGCAAGTCGCAGTTATCCACCACTTTTTAGTATAGATAAACTAAGGGGGGTGTATTCAATGGGAATTTGAGATATTTTATAGGGGTGTATTCAATTGGGATTTTGAGAGATTTTAATTCTTTTAATGAATTTAAGTGTATTCAATCAGGATTTTAAGATAGTTTATTAAAATTTTTAAAAATCCAGGTGTGTTCAATTAGAATTTTAAAGAAGTTTATAACATTCCAGGTGTATTCAATTAGAATTAGAATTTAAAGAATTTGGAAAAGTTAAGGAATTAGAGGGAATTGGAGAGATTTTGTAGTGTATTTTAAGCATCTACAAATATCACATCTTCCCATGAGATTTCGAGGGAATTGAATCAAAATTTTACATAGAATCTCTATAAATTAGTTAAACTCCTGTAAAAATTCATGGATTTATAAATCCATTAAAATCTCTCAAATTCCCAATTGAATACACCCCTTAATAGATTTATAAATCCATGAATTTTTATGGAGTTTAACTGATTTATAGAGATTCCATGTAAAATTTTGATTCAATTCCCTTAAAATCTCATGGGGAGAGGTAAGATTTGTGAATGCTTAAAATACACTATAAAATCTCTCAAATTCCCTCAAATTCCTCAACTTTTCTAAATTCTTTAAATTCAAATTCTAATTGAATACATCTGGAATGTTATAAACTTCTTTAAAATTCTAATTGAATATATCCGAATTTCTAAGAATTTTAATAAACTATCTTAAAATCCTAATTGAATAAGCATTGAATTTTAGAAAATCACTTAAAATTCCAATTAAATATCTCTAGATTCGTTAAAAGAATTAAATTCTTAAAATTCCATCGAATACCCCCACCTAGAATCAGGAATTTCACTCTGTCAGTAATCAGAGTAAAACAGACGCACCAACTCAGACCCTCGAACCAGACCTCCCATTTTATCCTGACTTTGAATTAGTTACAAATTTGCAACGATAATTTACCGCGAACGGCAAGCCACCCAAATCAAAATCAACCGTCCTCCCCGTTTCAAATCTCTCTGTCTCTGTCTCTGTCTCTCTCAAATCCCCAAAGAAGAATTCGATTCATTATTGAACTACTAAAAACAGAGCTTCTTCGTCTTCATCCAAACCCCCAGATTCGCTCACGCCCCCCAATCCCCGCAACCATACACCCCCACTCACACACACAGCGACACATGGCTTCTTCTACCTTCAGCGGCGACGAAACCGCTCCCTTCTTCGGCTTCCTCGGCGCCGCCGCAGCCCTCATCTTCTCCTGTAAAACTCCTTTCCCCCTCGCTTTTCAATCTCTTTTTTTCCCTCAAAGTTTTTCAATTTCGTTCAATTTTCTCAAATTCTGATCTTTCGATTCTTAATTTTCATGATTTCGCAGGCATGGGCGCCGCCTATGGTACGGCCAAGAGCGGCGTGGGCGTGGCCTCCATGGGAGTGATGCGGCCGGAGCTTGTGATGAAATCGATCGTTCCGGTGGTTATGGCGGGAGTGCTCGGGATCTATGGGCTTATTATAGCTGTTATTATTAGTACTGGGATTAACCCGAAGGCCAAATCTTATTATCTGTTTGATGGGTATGCTCACTTGTCATCTGGCCTTGCTTGCGGTCTGGCCGGACTCTCTGCCGGAATGGCGATTGGGATTGTCGGTGACGCCGGTGTCCGGTAACACCTCTAACTCCTGCCTCTTAATTCATAATAATTTCGTAGTTTTAGCTGAATTTGACCAAAACCCATTTGTTTTGTTGGTCTTATTACTTAGAACTTGTATGATTGTGTAGGAAGATGTTGTAATTTATATGTAGATGTAACAGAGCTGTGAATTAGTATCCTATTGACAATCATCACATTGATATGTAAGGTTCTAAAAGGCGTTAGGCGACAGTTGGGCGGCGGGCTAGCGCCTAGCGCCTAGACGGATTTAAGTAAATTTATTATATATCATATAAAGAAGCGCCTATTTATATTTAAAAAAAAATACATAATTGCATTGGGATACATAAATTACAAAATAAAATGATATATAAATTATAAAGTATTAAAACATATTGAAAACATAGGAATAAACATATAATGAGTGTTTATTTGAGTATTCAACTAAGTTTCTATATTGTATTGAAAAAATAAATGCAGAATGAAAGTTATCTATTTTCTATAAGTCAGAGTCGTGACATAGGTAGGTCTACGCATGCTAGACAGACACCTAGGCAGGCTAGGCGCCCTTTATTGATTTTCAAAGGCCTAGGGATTAATCGGGGTAGTGGCCAACCACCTAGCGCCTAGGTGGGGATTTTTAGAACAGTGGACATGAATGACATTTGAGAATTAATTTGGAGTGGCAATAGAGCTTTTGAATAGTGAAACCGTTGTTGACAGCGTTTGGGTGAAATAAGCTAAACGTCTCGATGAGACCTGCTAGATGAATACCTGCCACTCGGGAAGCATTTGGATTTGTAATCAAAGTTCTTATGTGTTTCCAACAATAAGCTATTAACCGAGATACAATACTTTATAAGGGGACGGGGATATATGATATATCGTTTGTATGCCAAATTGCCAGTAGTTTAACAATGTTGGTTTTTAGTTGTATGGCTAATGTGGAATGCAGATATTCTGTACTGATGTAGAATTACATTTCCTATTAGGTATTGGTTAACGGGTATATGCTTTGATAAGATTCAACCTTGTCACATTCAGGTCCAAGGAAATAGGTGAAAGCAGTTTGGGTTACATATGAGTGTCATTTGTGCCTTTTATTTTTGTGTTTCCGATTAAGTGTAAGATTGGCTAGTTACAGGCTTTCATCCTTTGATAACCAGGGTTTATGCGATGTGATTGCTATAGTTTGAATTATAATCCTAGTGTCAAAAAACTCAAAACTATAGCAACGTCACCAGCGGGGATTTGAAACACTTGATCAAGAATCTCCTGGTTGTTTTTTCTTAAAATGTGGGTCATTGTTTGGATTTGGTGGAATCAAAAGCTCCATTCCTTTTTGGTTCAGTTGTTTTTGCACTTGATTGAATTTCGTATGCTTTCTTCCACATGAGATTGTACATAGGTAAATAGGGCACTACTTGCACTCTTCTATCGAAGACATAACACGTTGGTTTGATATTTAACCAATTGTTCGTTTTGGATTAATCTCAGAGCTAATGCACAGCAGCCCAAGCTCTTTGTTGGTATGATTCTTATCCTTATCTTTGCTGAAGCTCTTGCCTTGTATGGTCTCATCGTGGGGATCATCCTCTCATCCCGATCAGGGCAATCTCGCGCAGATTAAGGGAGTCAAGTAAGTTGTTTCTCTAGATCATTTGAAGGTCGTATTGTTTTGATTTCTTTATGATGGTGCTATCACTATAAAACTTGGTTAATTTTTCGTTGTAAGTATATTATTTAAAGTTTAAACCGCACCATGCTTGTAGTTATGAAGAAACAATTGTTTCGAATGTTATTTTTCTCCTTCCCCAAATAAGAACAGATTAGTTAATGAAAACTTCACCCTGCATAAGACGTCTGGTGCTTTTCAATATTTGCCTTCGTAAGTGGCTGATTGAATGAGGCAAGAAGCTGTGTATTTCTACACGTTAGTTGTTTGGTCAAAGATCCTTGGCAAAATTTCTACTATGCTCCGGTATATAGTATTCTTGCAGCATTGGATGCAGTCAATGATCCATCCCCTATACTGAGATGAAGGTGGTCGATTTTGTCGTGTGTCTCGACTGTAAAATTATTAGTCTGCGCATGTTCCGCAGGTTGTAGAAACTCATTGAGGCTTGCATATCAAATTTGGGATCCTAAACCCATAGAGTGGGTGAGTCATTTAGCGATATCTTGTTCGTCGGGATCTTACTTAATCTTTTGACTGCACGAGTTTTTGTGTGCATCAAATGCATTTCGTCCGAGACTAATAGCACACGGTTGCAGAAATTAGTATCGAATGCAATGTATTCGTGGCGTATCTAAAATATTTCAGTTGATATCTCAACTACCCCACCTTAACAAAAAGAATTTCAAGTTCCTATTCATTGCCGTTAACAAAAAGAAAATATTTGTCTTTCACTTATAAGTAGGACGTTTTTAAACAAGGTTTTAAAAGACGCTAGACACTAACCGGGTAACAGGTTAGGGCCTAACTCCTAGGTGCGGTCTAGGTGGATTTAAATAAAGTTATTATATATTGTATAAATAAGTCTCTGTCTATACTTAATAAACACAAATAATTATTTTGGGATACATAAATTACAAAATAAAATAACATTTAAATTATAAAGTATTAGGACATTGAAAACATGGGAAACAAGCAGATATAATGAGTGTATTCAACAAGTCTTTTACATTTTGTTGAATAATTAAAATGCAAAATGAAAGTTTTCTGATTTTCTGTCTAAGTGAGAGTTGCAACCTAGGCGGGTTTAGTCAGGCTAGGCAAATGCCCAAGCGAGTATAAGGCATTTTTTTAATTTTCAAACACTTAGGCATTAATCGGGGCAGTGACTAGCCGCCTAGTACCTAGATGGGGCCAAGGCTCCACTAGGCGGGGATTTTTATAACATTGTTTTAAGGTTCAGCTTTCGTAGATGGAAATTTTAATATAACATTACTATTGCATGGGTAGGTTAGTTCAAATCCCCACTTGTTAGTATAAATATCGATTTTTATCAATACTACGTAGCATTGAATGATCCAAAAAATGAATGACTGAGACTACAAATAGAAGAACTAAACAATTGTGGAAATCAAAATTAACAATTAAAACACTCGTAACATTTAATGATAAGTAGCATTAAAGCCACACTTGGTAAATATCATTTATATCATTGTATACAACGTAGGCCAAAGAAGTTATTTTCTTTTCAACAAGTGTTACTCATGTGCCAGTTACCAAAATTAATAAAAAGGCGTCAATCACGTGCCAACCGTGTGTAGAGTCTTGAGAAATTTGGAAAAATAACCAAAACTTAAAAACCATATAGAATTAAAATGACACTTGGGCCATGTGGTTCACTGCCTTGAAGAAGAGCATAAGCTGCTTAAGTGGAGGGTTGGGAATGCCTTGGTGCTCGTTTTCAGGTACACGGCGGAGAGGATTAAGGGATTTTTGTGAGGATTGTGATTGGTGGGTGTTCAGGTGATTGTGAATGCGGTTTGATTGGTATTGCAGAGTTATTTTACTACCTCTTAGTTTCTCAAATTGACACCCTATACTCTTCATGCTGTGGTTCAATTAACCATCACAAAAGCACATACCAAATGTTCAACATTCAATTAACTGTAAGTGCTTCCAGATTTTAAAACTCACAAGTGAACGCCAGAAGTGAAATCAAGATTACAACTCACATTCCACGTAACTTTATATTTTGGTACATAAAATTCCAGCAAGACAGTGAAATCCAGAAGCAAAAACAAGAGCACGCACTGGGAACATGTTTGATGCCGTCGTGGCTTCAATTCAACATTTAAGCTTATGACTATACAATGTATTTACATAGCGGAGACTCTCTTGTTACGGTATCAGCCTGGTACAAAATAATCCATCTTCTCCGCCGGCAGATTCAGAAACGATGCTTCTACCTACACCACAAAGAAAGCAAACACGAAACATTTGGCAGAACAAGTGAGAAATCACAACATATCTTGTTGACCTTTCCTCGGTTTCAGCAGGTGAATCATATAAACTTTTCTTGATCGGACAAGAAGAAAATAGACTCAACTATCGTAAGGAAACACCAAACGTTGAACTGCAACAATTATTCACAGAAGCCTTTACATGAAGAGGGACTCGGTTGGTGAAAGTAAAGGGAAAGGAAGAAATACATGTACCTCCTCAAAGTGGGCAAAGAAAAAAGGTGTTAGACCCCTCTTGTGCGAGACAGCCGGCACATCTGGGTTGTGAATCTCATCATCCTGCCACCCTTCAACCACCCCAAGGATATCCTCATCAGGGCCGCTAACCTCATTATTGTTTACAGCACTTGTAACAAGTGAAAGCAAATCCATCCTATTGTTTGCCCCTGTTATTGTTCCTCTTAACCTATACGAGAAGCAGAGAAGCACCAATGACATTCCAATTAGAAACTACGCCTAAAACAAATGACTCCCTCTCCGCCCCATTTCAAAGTCTTATCTTCCCACAAGGACTGCAAAAACAGAATCTTGCAGACGTTATTTAATACGAAAAACATGCCTTCGTTAGCTTAATTTCTCTTCTTCACAACTCAGATTAGAGGTGTAACTGACTTTAAATCACATTCTAACTTGAGCAAATAATTGTTGGATGTCCGCGTCAGAATATTTGATCACTCAGCACTGAACTACCAGCTTGCATTTTCCTATCACGTAAATCATAAGTGGCGTAATAGACAGTCCTCCGTGTTCATAATATTAGCTTAGAATCTTCACAAAGGATATTGCGACCATGCAAGCTGTTGCAATGCCTCAGTCGGATTCTCAACACAGTAGGAGTGTAGGATGCATTCCTGGATACAGAACTGCAGCTTCAACCTACAACGAAAGAGAGAAGAAAAAAAATTTAAGATGCAAACTAAACAAGGTAGAGTAGTCGAATATTTGTGCTCAGTAAACACTCCACTAAATCAATAACCGATCGAATTGAATTAAATCCAAAACTTAAAAAATACTTTAACTGATCTGAAGAAACATAACCTGACCTTATCATCTGACAAAGTGTAATGGGCACTGAAAACATAGTCTGCCCTGGCTCCACGGAAGTTCATGTACTTCGCTACATCCTTGAGTTTTTGAGATGAATTCTGATAGTGCAGAGAAGAGAACAAATTAGGGCCAATCAGATCCATATAATTATCGTTATTTAAAAAATCAGTTAAGAAAATCTTCAGATATTCCAACCTTGTAGAGAAATCGGCCAGAAGGAAACAATCTCATGTAACAGTAATAGCACACCTGCAAAAGCAAAACAATGATTCAAAACTGCTGGAAATAATTACACAAAAAGACTACTTTGCAACTACTTTTTGTTTGACTATACGATTTCCCTATCGACGCATGATAACATTAAGGCAGTTACACTTCCGTAGTCTCAACTAGGCTTCAAGTACTAGAATGACATATACGCATCCCCAATGGGAATCATTTTCAAGGACCTAGGCTAGGATCAAAGTCATGCCTTTACCAGTGAGTGGAGTTGGGGTATTTGGAATGAGAAAGTGAAAACTCCCAATTTAACTTTGTAGCATTGTAAGCCACAGGTCTAATACTAATAGGCCTCTGATAAATGGTAAACCTAAAAACAAACTATGCATACCAAGTGAACTCCCATTCTGCGATTCCGGTACGGATATAGGTATTCCTGCTAACATACAGACCTGAGATGTGAAAAACAGATAAATCCTATTGAGAGGAATCTCACGTTGAAGAAATAGCATCATTGGGTACATGGTCTAGATCTAAATACAGATTATGATGAAATTTTAAGCAAAGAAGAAAGGGAGGCAGGAAACAAGTGCATCTTACCATCAGTGCGAACCCTTGGTCTTAGAAGCCATATTTTACTCCTTGAAGTGTCGTACTCATGGTTTTCCACCACTCCAGAGAGCTTAAGAAAAAAATGTCCCAGTTTAGAATCCAATAGATACATGGTGCAACATTTAAACTGGACAAACTTTAAAACCAACAGCATTATACCTGCCAAGCCTTAAGCATGCATTACGCCAAAACACAGGGTTACGGATAGTTTATCTCCATTTTCAACAAACACAAGCTGCCCTTCCCAAGTCATATGGAGTCATTCATGCAAAAACCTGCATGTAAATATTCTCACTTTATAACCAAAATAAGGAATGTCAACATGTTACCACGCATGCTCAATCTCCAATTCCAGTTATACCCACAACGATTCAGAATCCACAAAACATATAAAATACTCTTTAAATAAGCACGCATCAGTACCAAGAATTTATACTTCAACGTAAAACAATTATATATATATATATATATATATCGCACAATTACATTTAGACCCTTATATGATACCTATTATCGAGCTGGCATATTGTTTTTCTTTTCTTTTCCCAATCGTTACAGTAGGGTGCGGAGCACCTCATTAGGGATTCCATTTCATTCTAATTTATATCTGTAAGTTGAGCCTCTTTGAAAGCTATGGGAAGTATGAAAGCACTTTTATCTTTGATTTCTTAATTGCATTTACTTCTTGCTTAATTTTCTTAGAACGATTGTACCAATTTGGTACCAGATCCAGGTTATATATATATATTCAATATCTATAGGGAAAAGATAATTTGAAACATCGCTCAGTCATGCTCAGAATAGTTAGTTCAAATCAGAGATTCTTCAGTTACCTCAAGGATGTAAAAATTCCTACATCTTTTATCATTCCATCAAAAAAATTTCTCAAAACCAAACTGAAGATAAT